GTAGTTCGAAAGGGGAAGTCGACCCAATGTATATAGCATTATTTATCATTCACATATCTAAATTTGTCACGCATCTTCATTAAAACTTCTATTTCTCTTAAATTAACTACCTTCCCTTCTCTTACAATAATCCTCCTCTATTATTGCTCTTGCTTTAATGCTTATTTGCTATTTCTCTTGTTTTAACCTTATTTGCTATTTCTCTTGCTTTATTCCATCTTGCTATTCCTCTTACAATATTCCTTCTTTGCTATTCCTCTTGCCTTATACCTTCTTGCTTTTTTCCTTATCTGCTATTACTCTCACTCTATCCCTTCTCTACCACTATTCTTACTTTATTCTTTCCATAATCCTTTCTCCTTAACTTTTTAATTTAAAAAAATCCTGAATGTTTTTTTTTCTCCGGCCCCCCCGCGTATTGTGACGGTGTGACCTCCTTACACCATCATCCCACCTTTTGTATCGCCTCTCCGCTCGTATCGTATCGTTTTTTCTTCTACTCATATTTAAATTTAAAATTTTGAATCGTTCCATTTTACCTCGCATTCTGATTTTGTTTCTTTCCATCGCCACTCTCTACCCGATCGCGGTAGCGAACGTATATCTACTTATCTTTTTGAACCGTTTACCATTTTACTAAAAATCTCTTGTACAATACATATTTTAAGATCATAAATATTGTTAAAACCGGAATAAATACTTTTATAACTGGATTTATTACCATTACCCTTTACCCTTTTGAACTCCCGAACGTTAAACTCACTAAGCAAGATCTGCGGTCTACTGAACATTCCAAGCGGTACCAGCAGCGGCACACGCTTTCACTAATGTGGATTGCAAGCTACATTACAATCTGCGGAATTCCACCAGCGCTCTACAACTCTAACCTCGAATAGCCCTAAATTACTATTTAGGTAAATTAGGTCCTTAAAGTAATTAAGGAGTACCTTTAGGGAAACAGATGTCGGTCGGCAGTATCTTCCACCCCTTGGCCGTACGCATTACGGCACGGAAAGAAGCAAAGCGCGAATTTGTGGTAAGTCAATGATATAAAGATGGAGTGTTCTCGAATTCCTAGTACACCGAAGGAGAAACAGTGAGGGTAAAACTAAATTATAAAGTTCCTGCACACACTATAATTATTCCAAAAACAACAACGCTGAATTTAAAATAAAAATTGTGCATTGTGTTGTAGGCAAATACGAAAAGAAGGACATTAAAAGTTGTTTTTTTGACATAGTATTTTCAAGTTTTTTTTTTTGGTTTCGTTCCGTGGCTTTGCTATACCAGCGTCTGGCACGGTATGCTGGAAGATGTCGGTGCGAATCCGGCCGGATCGAAGGGATTTTTTTTGAGTGTTCGATCTTTGTATTAATAATTATAATAAACTAGTGGAGTAATATACTCGATGTTTCACAAAAAATAATTGAATATCAATTCAATTTTAAATAGTATTTACACTTCGGCAGTTTGTCCGTGCTCCTAGCGGATGGCTGGGAGTTGCGTGATAAAAATACTGCCTAGTTTTTCTGCACGTTATATTACTAATTACGAGCAGATATGATGGAAAAATAATTAAAACCTGTTTTAGCACGGTAGTGACGGCAGAGTGTTAACACCACACACAAAACCTATTCTAATTCAAGTTATTGGAAGGCCGTTTCAATAATTCAACAACACCTTTTCACAATATAATGCATCATCATTAACCCATTTATAGGTCCCATATGTTGGACGCGGGTTTCCTCTCAGGCGAGAGCTTAGGCCCTAATCCGCCAGGCTGAGTCACTGCAGGTAGGGGACTTCACACGACGTTTCCTCGAGGGTTGTGAACTTGTAAAACTTCTTCGACGTGCAGGTTTTCATCACGAAATCAAACTTATGGTAAACTAATTAAATTTCGTACATAAATTCCGAGAAACTCATGAGAGCCGGTAAGTCCAATAATTTGACTACCCCGGTTTTTTACCGCAATATCATGCGGTATTCCAGAAGTTCATATTTATTGCAAAGCACGAAATGAATAAAAATACTGTATTATTTAATACATATATTAAATTAACGTCTTATTAACTAAAATACTTAACAATATTGAAAGGATATAACCCGCGCAATGCACTTTACATCTTATTAGGAATATAGGATACAATATGTAAAAACGTCAAATGCAGACAACAAATACCGTAAACGAAGAATCTCACTGGAGAAAATAAAAATATAGATGTTTAAAAAAGTCGTATGACATTTTTTTGTATTTAATCTTACTCATTTTCATTACCCATTTGTAAACGACAACAGTAATTTTCAGGTAAGTTTTTGTGCTCAATTTTGGTGACAATTTTTATTATTTAATTACTCGAATGTGTCATCGTGAAATATTAAAGAATATTTCAGGTTACCACACTCGAATATTACATAATGCTTCATGATGATATTCTATAAATATTTAAATAAAAAGAAATGTCACCAAAATTGAGTACAAAATATTTACCTGAAAATGACCTACAAAAACTTTTTTCCCATACAAAACACAATCGACTTATCGAACGAAGTCTTTGCTAAATGGATATAAATTCCTAAACAATAGGTAGTTGTTCAGCATTATCTGTGATTTCAGGCGTACTTTTTTTAACACCCTGAAGTTCCAGCTTATAATACCTGAAGTTGAAATAATTTACAAAATTTATAAATATACTGTCCCTATTATCAAGAATAGACGTAATAACTTACAGCATTGACGGAAAAAAGTTTACATAACACGATTAAGAATTTTTTGTTCTTTTTTTCGCTTGGTAGCCACAGCAGTTGCAGTGCCACTCAGAGCTTTAAATCGCAAAGATCTTTTGGGCACTGCCACTGCACCCACCACCCTGAGACATAAGTTCACAAATCCCATGTGTCTTGGTCGAACTTCACACGACTATTTGTATTTGCGTACTTGATATATTCATATATATACACAATCACGTGTAGTAAAATTGTTCGCCTATTCGACAAATACAGCAAACACGAAACTCGCGTTATACACACAATGACTATATTCATTATCTTAACCCCTTATTTGGTTCCATGTCTAGACAGCGCCGGGGCGCTAGCTCATGTAGCGCCCGGGTATAATCAATACCCTGGCGCCCTATAATAGGCACGCGATTAAAATGCAATATTTACAATTATACTTTCTTCAGTGATAAATGATCTTGAAAAGCAGTAGCTCGTTTATGTCGCATGCGCCGCGGGTGACGCAGGCTCTTTGGAAGCGGCGTACAGCGCCCCACTATACCATAGGTAAAGTCGGCACTGTGTGTAGACCTTAGACTATATTTTTTTCCATCCTCTAAGGTGTAGACGGTCATATATGTCAGCTGTACGTCAAATATAATGTGAAGTGCATAATGGAACCTAACCGTATTACGACTAATACCTTTTGACGTTTTAGAAGTATTTCTCTGCGTACTACACTACACCTTATGCATCAACTACTCTTACTTACACAGTAAACGTATTGCCGTTATAGTCAATATTGCAAGTTGCATTTGTAACTCTCGCACTTACACAAGTATGCGTGATGGAATGCTCGTGGTAAAGGTTATTTTTAAAATACTAACAACCTCCCAGGACTATATTACTAACATCATAAACAATAAATTTTGTTCCATGATTTTTAATAGCTTAACAGATTTTACTTTGGTACAAAAATAAAAAAAATGAGCTAAACCACGGTTTCTTAACCTCTGGTCCAAGGACCCATACGGGGTCCGTGTGATGTAAACCCATGGCGAGCCCACTTATCATATAAATTGGTCTACAATGTGTTGTGTGTAAAAAGATATACTGTCTCCGTATATTTCAAAAATATTCTGTATTTATTGTAATAAAGATAACATATCTAACAATGGCGTGCTATTCCATTCAGTGGTGTGGGGAAAAACAGCAAAACATCTAATTACAAAACAAACAGAATCAAATTTCATCAGTAATTAAATAAGTAATTTTGCAATTTTCGTCCATTATAGCAAAGCTCAAGTTAACTGGTCGATTTGAAGTGAAACAATTGACGACACCCGTCATTTGTTCCGAATTCAGGCTGGCCAATCGGAGCGCAGTTATCACAGTAATGATTTATGGCAGAATAGTTTTCAAACAAATTAAACGACATTTCGTCTCTATTTCTGGTTATGTACTCGATGTGTGCGCGTGACCTTTTTAAATTTTAATGCCCTTGACGGTCATCCATTATTGTAGTGAGCAATACAGAAGCACGTCAATTAAATCCGCGAGCCTTCCGTCTTCATCATCTTTCCGAAAGGGTCCGTAGGGTCTTTGAAATTTTAAGAGGGTTCCATGACTACAAAACTAAACGGTGATACCTCTATGCGTTAACAAAAGAAAGAGCTAACATAAATACTAGCTCGGTGCAAAACGTAGGAGCGGGGGTGGGGTGGTGTGCACGTTTGAACTAGCTACCTTACTATCAAATACTGGGACCTTAGTGTAAGTTTTGAAATATGTTAACTTAACTATCGCGTTTGTGTTAAGATTTTAATTTAAACCCTATAAATATATAAATAAAAATCTTAACGCAAACGCGGTAGTTACGTTTTAATAATTACAAATTTACACTCGGGCCTCTGATCTAAAAAGTGCTGTGCTATATACTTCGTTTCAATCCATTTTAAACAAAAAGTAAACAAACGAATCATTGACCTGACCATAGACGGTTAGTGATGGCCAATTGTTTTAAACTAAAAATCGATTAATTAATTGAATGAATCAATTTGTTTAATTGAGTCATACTAGCGGATTTCCTTACATGAATAGTAAAAATACATAACCTTTACAAGCATATATTTAAAATTTCCGAAATCTTAATTTTAAATCCTCCAAATATTTACACTTAGATACTCGTTCGGATGCGATTGAAATTTTCGATTTACCAATCGATTACAAAAACTAATTGAATGAACGGAATTTTTTTTGTTTAGCACTATGCAACCATAGACAACTCATGGAAGTATAGATGAAAAATAACCTCACTTTTGAACTACCATTTTACAATACGATTTTACGATGCCATTCAAACGAATATTGTTAGGAAAAGTGATGAGATATCAAGTAGAAATCTTCGAAATATACTTACTCGACTTATTGGGTGATTGCTTTAGAATTTTAACCAAACAGGATTGTTTACTTTTTGTTGATAATGTATTGGAACAGACTATACAAAAACTTTGTTTATTTTTGGTAAATTTATTAACACTAAGATCTTATAGCAAACCGCGTCAGACTCTATGCCAACTAAGCCAAGTAACGAACCAACGGACCTTAGGATTTTTTCTGTGTTTATGGTGTTTGTTGTCAATCTTTGTTTTTTTGTTTTAAGACTTTTTTGCCATAGCCGCCTGTGAGAAATGTATATCTTCATTCAGCCACTCTTTATTATATTTTGTAAAGTTGTTAGCATTTTACAAATAACCCTGTGTAATGCAATTAATGTCGCGCATGCGTCTGCAATGTAAGTCGAATATTGCTTAATTCCCCTACACGTCCATTCGTGGTGTACAGGAGGATATGTCAATGTTCTCTCGTGGATCAAAGAGAGGCAATACGGAGTTAAACATTTTTAATATGCCTAGTGTGAATCCTATGCACTCCTTGCATAGCCGACTTTACCTCTTCCAAAAAGGACGTGGAATTGTGTACTGTTGTACCTCCAAGCACTATTCTGACTCCGGGATAGTTCTGATTGACTTGGTGTACACAGAAAGCTTCCTCGTAAGTGATGCCCCCTACAATAAATACAATGACATCCTGTGGTCTTCTGCTATAGGATCCGTCGTCGCCACCTAATGTTGGGTAGAGATTTTCCCGAAGTTTTCCCTTGATCAGATCTTCTAGTGTGTCTTTTAAGAGTGGATTGTGTTGAGTGTAGATATTTTCCACGCCGCTTAAACCCTGAAACATTTAAAACCAAATTGAGGATCTTGAAATGGCAGAGCCGCAACTATTCGGAAATCTGCAAATTTAAAAAGACCAAATTAAAAAAGCGAAAAAGTTTCAACCCTTTCTTCACTAATGATATTTTATCATACACGGCTTTCCAAAGCGAACAATGCAATATATTAATCGTTGTATTAAATTTGGCCACGTTTGATGTTCCAATGTTTTGCTTTGGATATACATTACAGGAAAGTGAGTGGATCATCTAGTGTTGGGTCATGGAAAAATTTAACGCTAAATAAAACTGCAAAAGATATTTCTAAACGTAGAACTTAATATGAGCCTTCCAAATTTTCAAATTTAAAAAAAAATTCCACTATTTGAATTTACCGACAGTAGGGTCAAAATTACACTTACATATACTTCACACCCTTTTCCCAGCGGGGTAGGCAGAGACAACGACCATAGCCCAATAATAATAATAACGCACACAGTCAACATAGCCCTGCACTAGGGAAACCCTGTGCCGCGGGTACCATGGACACACACATAGACAACCACAAATCACACCCAAACTCACGAGAGAAACAAATGTAGGTCATACAAATATTTCTCCCGGCCCGGGAATCGAACCTGGGACCTCTGCGTGGCAGTCATGCTATGGCAGCATGTTAACCATTCAGCCACAGAGGCAGATAAATGAGGGCTTCACGTTTTTCAAGGATTCTTCCAAGAAAAAAGTTTATGTGCATGCAATAAGAGCGAAAAAAATTTGTACGTTTTGCACCTGTGGTCCCAGCAGAAGCGAAGCACGCAACGTATTTTACGCTCTTATTGCATAGAAATAAAGCCTTTCTTGGCCTGCTCTTAATTGATTTTACGTTAATAAGTGTGGTGATCTCGGAAATAATATTGTCAGTAGTTCCATGTGCTCTATTCCACATGGAACAATTGTAACCTTAACATGTCATATTTATTCCCTTTAGCTCCATGTAATTTTAAGCTACTTTTACACCTAACTTTTCGTCCTCATCAGATCTTTAGAAGTTCATTAACCACATTTCCAAGATGGACAAATATTTTAAAGAGTATAACTGCAGAACATGCGATTGCGAATAAAACGCTGTTTATTATGTACGTGACACCAGTCATATGTGACTAAAGTCTATAACGTTTTTTAACCATTACTTATACTCTGTCCAACCATATTATGATTAACTTTTGACAGCTCGAATCTAACCAATTAGTGATGTCCTTATGCGCTTCCGATTCGATTTTTTATAACAATCGATTTTACTTATGAAGAAGTTTTAATCGTGAATTTAAGTGGGTTCCAAAAAGAAGATATTGTCTGATTGGGATCGTGGCGTTGCCTTTGACAATTTGTGTACTCGAGAATTCATAATGAATGTTAATGAGGATTCAAATATTGATTCCCGTTCATATAGAGAAGAATCGGACGATTAATTATAATAAACAATAAAATATTTATAATTTACTTCATTTCATTATAATTTATTAGATAGGTAGGTACCAACATTCATCAACTTGAATAATCTTCGTTACATAACCTGTTGGCTTGATAAATATCGGAGCTAAAGAGCACGCTGCTTCACTAAAATTAAAAAATAAGAGTCCAGGAAGCATTTCATTTTTTGTCGATGAATGAATGAATGTATGAATGAAGTTTTATTTATTTCTCAATCACAAAACAGGCTTAAGAGTAAGGAACTTAAGGTTAAAATACAAGACTAAAAATTGGTCAGACAGTTTTGTGAGAGACTGGTGCCCGAGATAGGTATAGAAAAACCTGAATTACGGGTCACCAGGCTTCCACTCTGCAGTTGAGCAATTTGGTTGTGGCACAGAGGTTGTGACAAAGGATAAAATATATAAAAGTTAGTGGAATATTCCTGATTTAGAATAATAAAGGTACTAGTGAACTAAACTTATTATTTAAAAGAACCCTCTCAAGGTTTAACACTAAGTAAACTCACAATATGAAAAGTGTGAGAATGGGTGAGGGAGTGTTTATAAGGTGAATGTGTTACTGATTAGGAGTGTAAGAATTGTACGTATGGGGTGTGTGGAATGTATAGTGTGCGAATGTGTTAAGGCGAGAGAACTACGACTTGGGAACAGTTAAATGAGAGATGTTTTATTTAAGGATAAGAAGAAGTTACCCAGTCTCCTCATAATTTTGGGTTTTAATCAAATGGGATACAGTTTTTTTGCAGAGAGATTTTGGGAGAGCGTAGAAAGAAAAGTGTATTTAATTTGTTGTACAAGTAGGGAGCGAGGAAACAGAAGAAATGTTGGGAAAAATTGGTGTTAACAGAATGGGATTGGCAGACCGTGCCCTTTCTACGTTTATCCTTGGTGATATTAGGATCAAATGCAAGTAGGGAGTGCTTTTTGTGGACAGTGTTACAAAGAAATAGTTTTCTAACGGTAAGCACATCCCATAGCTTATAGAGTGATGGCATGCATATGTCTAAAGTTAAATAAATAGTTGGACAGAGTATAATGTTGCATTTTTCTCTCATCATTGTCACTTTATTGTTGAACGTACGATATAGAATAATTTTCTAACCTTAAAAAGCCTCTGGGTTATCTTCACAGCGTCCTGAAGCCCGAACAAGTCACTCTGCCTGGCATGGGCGCCTCCGTACTCCACCAAATTGACCACAGCTCGCACCAGCTGTTCGGGCGTGTCACGAGATTTCAGCGCGTCGATCAACGACGGTAGAGCGTTACTGGCGTGTTTCTCGTAGCGTAGGGCGTATAGTGCAACCAATTTTGCTGCGTCGTGGTGTCGTACGCTTTCATTGGAAAGTAGGTTTTTGAGCCGCTGTTGGTAGTCAAAACGTTTTGGTTAACACGAATGTTATACGTAAATTAAGTTATTGAGTACAGTATGAAAGTTTCTTTACCTTTAGAGCTACCAGAAGACTGACAGAGATGTCGCTATATTTCATTGAATATTCTGTTCTGTTCTGTCCTGTCATGTTTTTATTGCCATGATTTATTCAGATATTTTTCGTATAACTACTCTTTTTTGTATTCTTTTCTTACGATATCAAGTAACGGTACGAACAAGTCGTGCGCCTGGTGGTAAGCGACACGCCTGTCTGAATAACAATTGCAGTGCCACTTAGAGCCTTAAATCTCAAAGATGAGAGGCACAGCCCATGAGGCACAAGTCTCATGTTCTCATATTACTGCTTGGCGGCAGAAATAGGTTAGGTGGCAGAATGTCGCGAATTAAGTCGCCATTTAGTATTAATTTTGAAATATCAAGCATTCATAAATTTAGTCTGTTGTGATACCTAAGATTCAGAGTCGACGGCTTAGAAGTGGCAACCGCTAGTTGTGCAATGCGCAACGGGAGTGAACGTGCCTACAGCTCCGGTACCTATCTGGAAAATAGGTAGGGTACTGTACGTGCACCCGGGGCGGCTCACCCGAGCCTCTCGAAGAACCGGATGAAGTCACAGACCTCTGTCAAGTGACAGAAGTCTGTGACAACCCTGTACACTGGCTGATCTGGAGTCAGAACCTGAACTTGTAAGGTTCCTGTGCGCGCACAGGTCATAGTGCCCTTCCAGCATAACCAAGAGGTTGATAGGGGGAGCACTATAAACAAAACTTATGTAGAATGATATGGGACTGTTGTGATTCCTAAGAGTAGGGAACCAACACGGCAGTCCAAGTGTCTCAAATTCTGAAGGTGAGATAACAGGCGTCTGCTGGGAATGCACTGGTTGGTCGACACTACAGTTGGTAAGTTTGCACAATGCTTGTTACCAACATAAATACAGTATTTGTTGACTACACAGCCTGAAGATAGAGTATAACGAATCAGTAACAGAATTAGGAGACCGGCCACTTGTACTAAAGGTATAAGGTGGCATGAAGCGGTGGCAGAGGAAGGGCTGTAGGCGTGTGTGTGGCGGCTCATTATAGGGATCAGAGCATCCCACTAGTTCAGATCCAGAGGATTATATGAGGTCAAGGACCTATTAGGACAATTATAGTAATCCTATGAAGTAGAACGGAGCTAGAAGAAGTGTACGCGAAGAAAGATGCTCTATTTAAAAGCTGTTGTGATAGAAAGAATGTCGCATATGTATTTTACATTATGATAGAACCTTAGGTGTGACGAGACAGTACTTCCCCGGACGAACTCTTTCACAAGGAGCTCTACTGCTACTAAACTCCATTAGTTTCTTTTACTTTATTGAATATCATAATGTTTTTAAATATTGCAATTAATATAGCGACATCTCTCGTCAGCCTCGTGTTGCTGTAAAAGTTTGTGAAGAAACTTTCACAAATTTCTCACAGATGGCGCTAATGGCAAAAACACCGTTACTAAGAACTGCAACAAGCACATCTTGCTGAATCGGGTTGCCCCGGTGTGGCAACAGACGCTGGTTCGAGCCAGTCAGATCGAACGATTATTGCTATGCATTGTTCGACTTTATTATTTATTAAGTAATCATTAAATATGACATTAAAAATGATAAATTCATTCAAAGAGCAAGCGCTAGTTTCTTATTCATTCTTCTCAGGAGAATTCGCCTTACGAATTAATAGTAATGTTTAATCAATGTAACAATTTCAAGTGTAATTTGCTTACCTATAAAATAAAGATTATTTAAGTTTGAACATCTTACCTGCAAATGTTTAGAGTGATCACTCTGGCAAGCAATCTCTTGTTCGAGCTCGGACACTTCTAGTAAATTGTGTCTCGTAACGCACGATGACAGTTCACCAACCACTGTCACGTGCTTCGTTACCGTGCCTGACATTTTCTGCAACAATCGTACAAAATGTAGGTATATGCCATTGTTTACCGAGCTGACCCATGTCGTTGAAGTATAATAATACAAAATTTGACTCAAGTAATAAAGTTATACTGTGTAAAGTTTTATACAAAAAAGATGTCTACTTACTTTCATGTACAATTATTTTAAAACAAGAGTTTTGTTTTTGTTAATAAAATTATTATGAAAAGATTGCTTATTTTAAAAAGCAAACTTTTAAGTGTTTCTTTCTATGTGGTATAACTAAGTGTACCTTAAACAGTGGATACGTTTCGACGAAGTTCTTCATGTCGTTAATGCTCTCAACCTTCTGGTGGCTTTTGGCTTTCTTCTGAAACTCGTCCATGAGGGACTTCATCGTTTGTCCGATTTCTCCGAAGTTTGAATAGAGATTCTACAAAAAAAATGTTATCATCAACACATTTATTTATTTATTTATTTATTACATAGCTCTATGCACAGTTTCCCAAAACGACATAGATTAGAACTACTAAAAAAGATAATTAATATCGAGTTCTTAGGTTTTCACGATTGTTACACATAGGAAATGAAACTATTTTTCCGGATTTAAATCGCGTATATTTGTTTTTTCAAACAAACCGACGTTTCGGGCCCTTTACAGGTCCCATGGTCACGGTTGACTGAGGTGGTACAGTCTTCAACCAGTTATGTCTAATATTAATGCAAACCACCCTATTTTTTCACTATAGTTACAATAGTTATTAATTAAATACCTTATTTTTAATTTTACAAAATGTTTGGAACGGAATGTTTTTTTTCTAAGATAATTAATATATAAAATAAATAATAAATTTTACATTCTTATTCGATTAATGCGAACATAACTTCCTTATAAATAAATGTATATCTTGGTGACGAGCAATCACGGCATTGGCCAATAACGCCCTATGAGCAGGGGCATGTTGTGTAGCATTACAGCGCGCAGTGCCTATCGCAAATACAGGCTGTTGTCAAAGGCGCAAGTATTTGTCAGGGACTCTTCCGGATTGTCAATTTCATCACAATTTAAATATATATTATAGAGTCGAAGTAACAACGCCATTCGTCTCAACTCTAAGGTATCTATGCGTTCCACTGTTGAGCACGGGTCTCCTCTCAGGTAAGCGGTTGTACAATATGCGTTAAGGGACTTCACACGTTTTCCGAGGGTTGTGAACCTTATTCGACGTGCAAGTTTCATCCCGATGTTTTCCTTCACTGAAAAGCTCATGGTAAATTTCCATTGACTTACAAATAAATGGACGACGGGTCTAATACAAAAACCACGAAAAAAATGTCCCAAGTCAACCTACTTAAACGTAGTGACATGTAAAGGAATATGAAAAAGCTAAAACGTTGAATTTAAATTGTAATAACATCGCAGTACTGTCTAATTTTGCTTGCTTCGCTGTCAGTCGAACAAACGAAGACTAAAGCGTGAATGACGCTCTGTATACGATTTTAACGCCCTATAAGTTCGGACACTTTTTAGCACGGACCCGACGTCCATATAATTGTAAGTCAATGTAAATTTCAAATTAAATTTAGCACATAAATTCCGAAAACTCAAGGATGCAAGCCCGGTTTCGAACCCACGGCCTCTGCTTGGGAGGCAATAGGTAAAATCATTAGGTTTGATAAAGTAAGTTTAACAATTGTATCAGAGTGCCACGAAAAAGTTCCATATTTGGAGAAGGAAAAAAGACCATCAAGACTAAGAATATTGCATAACAATCGTGCATTTAAACTTCCAAATTATAACAATGTATATGGTACGAAAATATGGTCATTTGTACTTCCAGATGAGTTAAACAGGGTACCAAAGAAGTTAATACAAATATTAGAATCAACAAATAAAAGGATCTGTACCACATTTGTTAGACGACACTTGGCTTAGGAATAATATTATATAAGAGCTGTATAAGTAAATATACTAGATTTTTAAATAAGTAATAATGTTAAGATGTCGCTGTGGTTAGAATTTACTAAGGTGCATAATTTTACAATATAAAAATTTTAGCTTTCGTAATGTGAAATAACTTTTGTCATTTTTCGTAAAATTTTTAAATTTCTTTTTGCTACCACGGCGTTTCACAAGAATAATGTAATTTAATAATAATATGCCAAACAACAAACCGGCCTCAAAAATTCGTGGAACTACATCTATTTGCCAAGTTCTATTGACGTCACCTACTTTGCCACCCTTAGAGGTGGAATATTTCCTTCAAATTTAAATGTAACCAATACTGAGGAAAGATTGACTTTTGTTGGAAAGACTGACCCTCTTTCCAACAAAAGAAGGATCATCAGAATCGCTTAGCATAAAAAAAGAAAATACATTCGAATTGAGAACATACTCCTTTTTTAGTGGGTTAAAAACCGCTAGAAAACTTAATGAATTAACCCGTCATTATTATTAAAACAAAGATCGAACACTCAGAAAAAAATCATTCGATCCGGCCGGATTCGAACCGACGTCTTCTACTAACTAAGCCACGGAACGAACCAGCGGACATCACGAAAACGCTATACCAACTAAGCCACGAAACGACCCAGCGGACCTCACGAATTTTTCTATGTGCTTGCGTCGTATTTGGTTTTTCAACGACTTTTTAGTCGTAGCGCCATCTATGAGAAATCTATGAAAGTTTTATCACCCATTTACCGCTCGTTTCAAACGTTTCCCGTACTAATACGGTTCATTTCAGAATATTGAAATTGTTTAATGATATTCCAGCTATGCGTTGTTAGGGTAAGTTCCGATAAGCCGAACAGGTTAACTAATTTTAACTGTTTTTAAAAGACAATTTTGTGCTCTATTTTTTTCTATTTAAAACGGTCATTTGACCATTTGTCACTTAGCCGCGTTTTTGTTAGTGGACGGCAGTATTGAATACCGCGGTTTTCTTGTAAAATTTCGAGATAAGTTTCTTCTCAATTTTATTATTATTTTTTTCCTGACGATTTAACACTTTCATTGTTGTGCGGAACCAACCAGGTAGTATAGACTCTTAACGGTAAAATCATGTCCTTACTTTGGCATAAAATTCGTCCTGTTCCGAAGAGAGAACTACTTCTTTGAAGTGCGCCAAGCTCACGCGGTTGTTGTTTATCGTCAGCAGCTCGTGCACCATCGCTTGGTACGTCCACTGGAAAATTAGAAAAGAAACTTGAGAAGATCCAAGGTTTATTTGTTAGAGAACAAATCACATCATACTTTTAGAAATGTTTTTTAATAGTTGGTCATTGACTGCATCCAGATGGGCCTGGATCTCAGCTGTCATGAGCAGTTACTGAGGCTCTGATGAGGACGTTAATTCGGCGGATAATTTTGAGATCTGAGGGACTACTGTCGATCTCCGTCCGACATCCGAACGAAACAATTACTGCCAAATAAGCAATACTTGACCAAATGAAAAGACGTGTGATGCGAATGAAGCTTCATACTTGATTCTTGTCTTTTAATTTAGTCGAATGAATAATACTTATTTGACACTAATTGTTTCGGACGGATGTCGGTAGCCCCCTGATTCATCTTTAAGCTGAGTGTATAGTCCATCTATTTCTCTGTACATTGTATGTAGTAGAAAGTCGTCCTGATACTGTCAGCGCAGCAGTCAAGTCAGAACTTCTTCTTCAGTCAGTCTTTGTAATCAGTCAGTCTCCTGGTCATCATCCATGGAGGCTGGACGCGACAATGAGTGTTAGTCTGTCTCTTTTGAATATGGAGTAAAATGACAGTTCACTGCACAAAATTTGAGATTTTTTTTTTTCATTTACTGCACAAAAGTGTTGCCCACTTACAAGCAGCTAGTGATTGCAGTCGGTAAATATTCCATCGACTATCGATTGAATATGGGTTACGCATGCAATAAATACAACAAATTTGACATTTCTTTAATTTCAATCATCATCGGTCCATTAATCGTCCAACTACTGGGCATAGGCTCATTTGGATTTCCAATTTTTGTAAGTTCCTTCCTACATACATACACTGCATTTAGAACTGTCTATTAAAAATACAAGAAACATTTTAAAGTTTTTCATTTTAATGCAATAAGATAACCAAATCCACGTTTTTGTTAAAATGTATATGAATAAAAAATTATTTTGATACTAGTAGTAGCTGTCAAAGTAAGAATGAAGGAGACAATAACGTAATTAGTAATCATTAGAACGTCGTAACATTCCCAAGTTAGACACTTTTGGCAATCTTTCAGAATCGATTAATAAAATGTCGATAACGACTACATGACTATTTCAAATTTTATGGAAACTGGCAACCCTACAAATTTCATTTTACTCCGTCTTCCAAAAAGATGAGGCCAGACGTCGAGGTCAATAGTTCTAACCTGATTCAACAGCGGCGTCACCGGATCATCTCTCCTATCAATAATCAGCAATTGCGGCGTCGGAATGTCTCCATTGAACGGTATATTGTTATCAATAAGCACCGCTTCACGTCTTTGCAGGTCTCTGACGCGTTCGGCCAATCGAGCACATGGTTCTGAAGCTGCTTCGTAGCGGACCACACAGCGTCGTTTCAGAGACATGAGTAGGGCGAATAGGCCTTGAGCACAGCGCTGAAGATGGTGCTGGTTCCATGAACGACCTGGTGAAGTAGAAGTTAAGTATTGGTCCAAAAGGCACTAAAAATAGTAAGTTTAAATAGTAAGTTAGGTAATGTATTACTTTTAATGTGCTATAAGCAGAGAATAAAAAAGTAATGACAAAGGGCAATCTCCACCCCTCCCTAGCAGTCACATTGACGGAACGGCAACAAGGCTGCCAGCGAACCGTTCGATAAGTACGATTTTGATGTGATTTTTGTATTATTAAAATAAAATATTCATCTCTTATTATGTTAAGGCCTTTGTTTGAGTCACTTATTTGACTTCGTTTAACTTAACTGGTGTAATTTACTGTTGATTTAATATTTAATACATAATAATAATAACGCACACACTCAACATAACCCCGCACTTGGGAAAATCCTGTGTCGCGGGTGCCATGAACACACACATAGGATCGTATTCTAGAACTCTACTCAATGCTCAATTCATGATTTGAGTATTGTTTAAAGCACTCGAAATCATACTCAAGTCCCTGCCATTAGGGTCGTATTTCCAGTGCTTGTGTTGTCAGTGCAATCCTGACTTGAGCATTGAATAGAGTTCTAGAATACGACCCTTAGACAACCACACATTACACCCAAACCCACGAGATAAATAAATGTAGGCCATACAAATATTTCTCCCGGCCCGGGAATCGAACCTGGGTGGTAACCGTTCAGCCATAGAGGCAGTTTAAAATCAATTTAATATCACATTAATAATATAAAATCATTAGTATACGTAACGATCATATTATTTATATATACAATACATTCATTTGCTCTTACAAAGTCACTGTGCAGGTTAAACCAGAAAGTAAATAATTCAAGGAAGTGATGGATAATCCTACTACTTGTCTGCACACAATTGCGTGTGTGCAGGCAGCGCCTTGCTATACGTAGTAATAGTAGGTAAATAAGTTTCCACCATTGTATGGAGAGTTTGGGGTGTGCTATGAGGTAATAAAATACCATGTAAGCAGCCCACGATGTTGAAGGAGAAAATATGTCTGTCGACAGCGAGGTAGTCCGCAAAGACCTCCTGTACCTCCCTGACAGCTTCCTGCTCATCACACTCGGCCAATGTCTTGATGTCTGCCTTTGATATTACGTTGCTGAAATCTATAACATAAAATTGAAATAAATTGTTCAATAGAAAAAGAGCGCCTTCAAATTAGACGCTTGTAGAAACCAGGGTTGTTGCTGATGCAGGTTTTCTACACATCAAAACTCGAAAAACATACATGCTTACGTACTGAATCTACCTACATAAAAAAAGCATTCTATTTTGTTTGGTATGGTAATAAAAGGTTATTTCAATGATTTTGTGACATTTGTTAAAAAAGGAATCAATTTGCCTAGCTTAATCGTTGCAGAGTTTTATCAAAGAAAAATTTAATAAAAAAAAACAGTTGAGCTGCTTTATCTGCTTGCAGTCTGTTTCTGGAAAGTTTGTAAATTATTCCGCGTGCCTTTTAAGTCATGTTCCGACTCTAACACTGAATATCAGCATCGATGAATATGGATGCTGATGCGGACATTTTAATTTATGCTGATTATCCGCGGATGCGGGCTGATATTCGCGACAACACTGGTAGAACAGCGCTTCTATAATCGTGTAATTTGAAGACAAACTAAAATTAGTCTATTGGATCCAAAACAAGATTTGGCAATCGTTTTTTCATATTCTTAAGACTTTCGTGGTCATTCTGTAATGATTATGATTTTTGTCGTACGATTTTTAACCGACTTCAAAAAAGGAGGAGGTTCTCAGTTCGACTGCACTTAGGGTCGTATTCTAGAACTCTACTCAATGCTCAAGACAGGATTTGAGCAGACTTGAGTATGATTTGAAGCACTGGAAATACGACCCTAATGGTAAGGACTTGAGTATGATTTTCAGTGCTCACTGCAATACTCAAGTCCTGACTCGAGTATTGAGTAGAGTTCTGGAATACGACCCTTAGAATAGAATATAATAGAAACCATTTATTACAAAACGTCTCAACGAAAAGAAATTTAAAAAATATATAAAGCTAAATTAAAACAAAAATAAAATAACAAACCAGTATTGTGTACATACTAAATAGATGTCATGTGTGCGGCTGTGTCTTATGTAAAAGAATCCACTCAGCTAATGTCACCGCCGAGAAAAGGCTGTGATGCTGATTTCTTTTTTTTTTTGTGTATATTACGCGATTTGTGAAGTGATTTTAATGATTGAAACCGGATTCATCCCCTAGTTTGCTAACCTTACAGGTAATATTTTCATCAACTTACCAAATCGTGTAACATAATCAATAAAAAAATACAGTCCAATTTGAACGAACCTTCCCCTTTTTGACGTGAAAGTGGTCTATGTGTTTAGCACTTTCAGGTTATTTCTACCTACAATAAATGTGAACAAATATTAATTTCGAGTTCTTAGGTTTTCGCGATTGTTACACATAGGAAATGAAACTATTTTTCCGGATTTAAATCGCGTTTTTTGTTTAAATTGTGTTTTTTTAATTTAGCGTTACCTTTTTTTTAAATTTCTTTTCAATGAGACGTTTTGTAATAAATGGTTTCTATTCTATTTTAAATGCAGTTGAATTGAGAACCTCCTCCTTTTTTGAAGTCGGTTAAAAATCATTTATGAGGGTTAAGTTTATGGCGCAACAAAAGCACACAAAAGGTGTACAGTTTCTATCTACAACAAAAATCTATGAAAGTGGTCTATCTGTTTAGCACTATCAGGTTATTTCTACCTACAATAAATGTGAACAAATATTAATTTCGAGTTCTTAGGTTTTCGCAATTGTTACACATAAAAAATGTAACTATTTTTCCGGATTTAAATCGCGTATATTTCGCGTACGTGGGACCTGTAAAAGGCCCGAAACGTCGGTTTATTTGAAAAAACAAATATACGCGATTTAAATCCGGAAAATAGTTTCATTTCCTAAATATTAATTTATTAAAAGCAATTAGGCAAAGAGTAATGATCTGGCCACACATAGACTGCCGCAGAAGCATTGCGGGCGCGGGAATTTTTGTAATGTGTGAGTTTATATGAACCCGTACATTACATAAATTCCCGCGCCTGGAATGCTTCCGTGGCCGCCTTTGTGTGGCCTGAGCATAATAGTGTGTAGTCAATTGATAATTTCAAGTCTTACTTATAAAAAAAAGATATTTTGAATTTAAATCTACAATGTATCGGACTTACATATAAAATACACTCCATATTTAGGGAACCTGAGTTCCCTAGATAGCAAAGCAATATTCTCTGATGTAGGTCTAACGAAGACAATGCATTTCATATGCTTCAAGTTGTCCCATTTGGTGTGGCTGTCAATGCGCTCGAATAGATACACTTCCTTTTGCAGAATCTCTGACTGGCTGAATACCATGCTTACTATACTTGTCTACAAAAAAATTGCTGTTTTACTTTTACATGTTATGTGTGTGTAGTCATAAATATACAAAATCGGTGTCTTGTAGAAAAGACGAAAGTTAACGACTGTTTTGAAATATTTACATCCTGTTTTAAAATTAAATTTTGGTTTAATTAAGTTTAAGTTTTAAAACAAGATGTAAATATTTTAAGACAGCTGTGAAAAATTAAAACCTTTTTTCCGTGAAATTTGTCGAAATGGCGCTTTCGCTCTTCCTACAAAACTCCAATGACAATATAATAATAATAAATTGTGTCAATGCAATTGTACAGTATCTGAAAATAACGTGACATTATTACATGAGGAACATTTTAAGATATGTTTAATGTCAAAGATTGATTAATTAAAAAACTAAACATTGTGATGTCTGATATTTTTTATAATATCAAGTGGCGGGACGAACAAGTCGTGCACCAGGTGGTTAAGCTACACGCCTGTCCATAACAGTCGCTATGCCGCTCGGAGCTTTAAATCGAAAAGATCTGAGGGGCACTGCCACTATGTCCCTTCACCCTGAGACATAAGCTGACAAGACCCATGTGCTTGTAATTTCACCATGCCTGATCATTCAATAACAAAAATATTAAGAAAAAATTGTGAAGGCGAAACTTTTGAATAGAACATTTTTAATTTCAACAACTGTTAATAAAATGTTAATAAAATGCTTGTCAATGGGTCACATTCTATATGCTGGAGGATTCGACAAAGTTTAAAAGGCTACACAATGCTTTTGCAGGTGTAATTGCCAGCTATTGCTTCAACAAGGTGAACTGTAAATTTAGCACCTGGTCATTGGTCAGCACCTGTGGGGCAGCACGAACAGTCTTCTTACGTGGTACCAGGAAGGTAGGACAGCCTTAAGTATTCCCTACTAAGCGCCTACTAACACTATATATGGACATGTAAGAATTCAACAAAATTCTTTCATTTTATTTCAAAGTTATTTCTAAATCAATTGTTATAGCAATTACTATATTTGTTACTGTGAAAACATTTGGTTAAACGGTACTGAAGGGTACACTTACAAGGCTTTTTTTACTTTGTTATAAATTCTTTTAATGCTTATTGCAGATAGATTTTCCTCTCAAGTTATCAAAAAGGCGTCTGGACCTTCGGTGCTGTGCAATGCATTGTTTCAAATAACAAAACAGAAAACCGCAAACCAATAAGAAAAAAATAAGTTACTAGTTTTAACTTCTGAGTCATAGGTTTTCTGAAAATTAGGTTTGGCTGAAAGTCGCAAAGTAAACCAAGCTTTGTGCTAAGAAATATGTATCATCATGGAAATACCAAGGCTTATTTGTAATTCAGAGACCCGTTTAAAACAATTCAGACTAAAATCCAGTATTATAGGGGAATAACTCACTGTTTCCTTATCCATAACAATAACTTTCATGCCTGGGCCGCTTTCTTCCGTCATCTTTGTTATATACAATTTCACAGCTTGTATCACATTCATTTTGGCTTTTTCTTCCTTTATTAAGCAAAATTACAATAAAATCATTTAGTTTTTACTCGAAAATTTTTAGAAATCGAAATGTTTCTTCTTCTTTTTCTCTCGCCCATTCAGACTATGACAGCCTTAGTGACAAATGGTAACTGCGTTCTTTATTTTTTTCCATCCTCTAAGCTGCGTTCCGTTCCAAATAAAAATGCTCTATTATTTTCATCTTATAAGATCTTAAAAAATCTGATAAGATTTAAATAGCTGTCAAGTCAATGATTGTTTTTGAACGATTCCTGGAGTTTAAGTCGAAATATAGACAACAAGAATCGATTTTTCGAGTTTCAATCAATCGATTTTTTTTTTATTACGTTTTTACGGTAATTTATGTGACGCATAGTTTGACAGCGCAAAGTATGCAGTTACATCACTAGTTTATCACCAAAGGTCAGCTGGGTCAGGTGGAAGTTTTTGCCGAATATTATAATTTACATTATAACTTGGTAACTTTCATTAATATAAAATTGCAAAAATGTTCTCCCGTGTGCTGAAGCCCGTCACAGTCGTGGCCGCCCAGAATGGCGCCAAAAACTTCTCCACAACCTCGCAGGTAATAATTTCATAATACACTATTTATTGGGACGTGGTACCAAAAATACAGCATTATACATATCATATTTTCCTTATTAGTAGCATTTCCAATTATATCTCAACATCATCGTGAATTTCAATGATAATGCAATTTTCCAGAGGAATTTCAAAGTGGTGGTGGCCGGCGCATCTGGTGGTATCGGCCAGCCCCTGGCCCTGCTCTTGAAGCAGAATCCCCTGGTGACCCAGCTAGCTCTGTACGATATCGCGCCGGTAACTCCAGGCGTGGCAGTGGACCTCTCGCACATGGACACTCCAGCCAAGGTCACTGGCCATAAAGGCCCAGAAGAACTATCCGCAGCTATTAAAGGTACTACACACTTAAATAACCCTAAAAAGTCGGAATAACATTGCTGTAGGAATATTCTAAGTGTTACATAACAGTAATCATAGATAGGTGTGGTATAAAGTTTAGATGTTTTCAGGTTATTTTTGGCTGTAAACAGGCGTTATAGAGGTTGTTTATAGTGTTTTTACGCTACAAGTTGGTGTAATTTGATATTTCTATGAATTTGAAGTGTTTTTCCAGTGGTTTTGTTAAAAATAAATTGATTTATGGTCAATGTTAGAGTAATGTTTATATCAATTGGTTATTTTGGTTATGTTAGCTGGTGTGACTGTTGTTTGTGTGTGTTTTATGGTTGGTTATATCAGGGATCGAACCTGGGAACTGAACAAGGCCATCAAAATCTCAAGAAATAAAAAAATTACAATATCTTTTATGCATGTATTTCCACTAAAATCATCACTTTTTCACCTGAAATTGTTTAAATTACAAAGCCCAATAAGAAATTATTGTTCACTAGAATTCTTTCCTCATTTAATAACCAGTATATAACAGTTCCGAATATAGGCTTTAAAATTATGTTGAACACACGTTGATTAATTTTATATAAATTATATTAAAAACCAGTTCAAAGTCAAGTACCCAGTTACATTACACTTTTTCCACCTGCTACATTTTATTTTGAATTTTTATTTATGGCACAGTAACAGACGTTAGATACAAACAATGTAGAAAAAAAAACACTTAAAAATTAATACAATAGGCATAGATATGCCTACTGCCCAATTATAACTGTGCTCAACATTCAAAAGTACTTAAACTGACGCTAAATTAATTATTATTATACAAAAATACAAATACATTATTTATGTTACAACAATGCAAGAAGTGACCTCTTAAAAGTAGGGACCCCGCAGTTAAAAAAATCACAATCAGAACATATTTCATTGTAATACCCATATATCCTATACAGAGGATTATTTTGTGTTACATTATTCTTTGTATGGGGTATAGTGAATAATCATTGATTATTCACAGACCGAGTCAGAATTCTGAACAGCAACATCTCTAATAAGCCACCATCAGACAGTCCATTGGCAAGTTTATGCAGTGTACTTAAATCTGTCATCCACCTAAGTTTTTCCAAAGAAACCATATGAAAGTAGCTCAAGCGATAATCATATTCCCGTATTGTTTTACATATACCACTTTTCACAGACAAAGCTCATAGGAATCTGTGCTGAATAGCCTCTGTCCTATCTATATGGCTGTTATATACAGAAGACCAAACCGACAAGCAATACTCCAAGACACTTCTGACTAGGGCTCTATAGAAGATGACCCACGATTTGACATTCTGAAATGGTTTTGCTTTTCCAATCTCTTTGCTCTCTAGCTACATCAAGTTATTGTATTCCCTGTAACCTCAAAGTCAGACTACAAGGCTGCTCACCAACTGATCTTCAAATGAACACTGTAACCCTTAAAATCTCCCCTTTTCCAGGTGCGGATGTGGTAGTTATCCCCGCTGGTGTTCCACGCAAACCAGGCATGACTCGTGACGACCTGTTCAACACAAACGCCTCCATCGTTCGTGATCTCGCCAAGAGCGTCGCTCAGAACGCGCCTAAAGCCATCCTTGCAATCATCACCAACCCTGTGAACTCCATGGTGCCTATTGCTTCGGAGATCTTAACAAAGGTAATTATTAATTTATTTACACCCAAAATAGGCGCTTTGTCATCGAGTTGCGGAATACCAGCCCGTTGCACCAAGTACCAAGTAATTAATTTGTATATCCTGTCCCTGGTCCATGTTATATGTATAATACTTTTCCTTCCTCATTTGTTGACAAGTTTATAATATTATTGCATATTATATTCGTTTCATTGTAGTCTAGGGAGAAGCTTGAAAACTATTTTGCTACATTAAATGGTTTAATATTTATTATTAAATAACGGTGTTTCAAAAAAATACGCAGTACACCTAAGGATATTGTCTACAGAATGTGCTAATGTGTTACACAATAGGACGTACATTACCCGATCATATAAAATCCTGAAAACAGGCCAAAATAAAAGTCTAAAACTAATTAATTAAGAATAAAATATCTAAAGAAGGATTGCAACATCCCGTGTATTTTGTGGCCCAGTGTTTTTGACGACGTGCAATAAAGAGACCAATCAATACAAGTGATTCATTAGCAAAGCATCAAAAGCTAAATGAATACAGCCTGTAGAAGCTGGGGATGCCACATTTAATATAACATTAACATGTCCTATCGCAATGAATTTGTCCCAGGTCACAGCTGACAGGAAACATTATTATTTCCTTAATGGCGTAACGCCAACGTTAAAGAACTTCTTCGACGAACTGTTGTTGTGGAGACCATACCTGAGGTGAAAAAAAACAATCATGGACTGACAATTAACTAAAGCATAATATTATTAGAGATATAAAACCACACAAAATGTTAATAAAGGGCTCGAAGTGGCACGAGCTGTCCTGCAGCGGAAAGTACGCGTCTGTCAAATCTCAACCCCTTCAGAACTAGTTGGTGAAACTTCCAATTTTAACGAAAACGAATTATTTACTATAGAACCTAAAATTCTGAACCTAACTATATATAACTTATACGTTTATGACGGCGTCTGTGGTCAAGTGGCTTGCACATCGGTTTTCATGGTGTCACCATCTTTGAGGTTCCGGGTTCCGTCGCGGGTCGGATCAGCGTAGAAAACTAACTTTTCTATATTGCCTCGGGTCTGGGTGTTTGTGGTACCGTCGTTGTTTCTGATGTTCATAACACAAGTACCTTAGTTACTTACTTTGGTTTAGAGTAACGTAATATGCGATGTTGTCTAATATTTATTTATTTATTTCCTTCTTATGTGTAATCAACAAATTACATCATAATATTTTTTAATACCGTAAATCAAGCATTGATTGCAATCAAGTTATCTTGTCTCTATAGAGTACAGATTAATTTGACAATTGCTAAAACGATTTGTAGTATAGAACGCCATTGACATCATAAAGATAATGCTTATCAAAGCTGTAGATAAAAATATGAGTCAACACACTATTGTGATAAAACTATCTCTCTCTGCTCATTGCATATTGATGTAATATTTCAAAGATTGCGTTATGATGGACTTTTGTAATGTAGTGCTATTATTTCGAGAGACATGTGCTAAGTAGTGGGACTCTATACTTTTATGGTTTGTTAGAGATTATTCTTAAAATAATTAACAATTTTTTAAAATCTTTATTTGTTTATGTGTTTACATAGTGACCCACTCAGTCTACACATTTCTTAGCCTAATTGTCTCCTTAACTCTTCAGAGGTCGGAGCTGCTAGAACGCTATTTATTTTGCCGAGAGCTATGTGCTAAGAATCGATGCTACCTCACCTCGAATTCAAATTTTTCCCGTACTAAATCGCTTCTATTGCGCGGGTCGAGCGACAGGGATACTGGCTTTAAAAAAATAAATTCTGAAATAAAGAGAATAAATTCTGAAAGAAAGACATTTGAAAAATGTATGTGGAATATATTATACGTTTTCTATTTAGTTCAGTTGATATAAAAAAAATTACAGCAGTTTTCTTGTAAAATCTCGAGGTAGAGTATACTCGCCTAATTACGTGGTATATCTAATACGGTGACAGAATGTTTGGAAGCGAATATAGATTTAAATGACAAGATTTTACCCTTTTAAAAGGAACGTTAAGGTAGAAGTGTCCTTTTCCTTTGTAAAAGTCTAAAACTGCACGCGTGTCTTAGTCCATTCAAATCGCGTGATCGGATGCGACAAAAATAAACGTTACAGTGGTAGGTGCAACTGATATCGCGATCAAAGTACACATTGAAGGTTTTATGCACATTCTACACTCTCTACAGAGCATCAAAAGAATTCGATATCTCTTGAACAACTCTTAGATATAATGTTCATAAAGACAAAAAATCTTGTACAATTTCGTGATAACGTAATTAGGCAAGTGTGTATCATGGACTTAAAGTGACTGTCACGTAATTGCCCAAGTTAACAGTGTTTGATAGCTGAGTATTAATTCTAGAAATATTCGTCGTAATATATCTTCAATAATATGACTAAAAGACAGATTAACAATCCTAATAAAAATATTAATTTTTTTTTCCAACAATCAGTTGTTTTATTACACAGTTATGTTTTATAACGAAATTTACTAACTAAGTTTGTGGGTTTTTTTTTTCTATCGTGAAAATGTTTAGGAATCGTGTTTTCACTACGTATAGTAATCAGAAAAAATGGAACCTGTCAAGAAACGGAAACATTGGTTTGTTTGAAAGTAGAAATGTATAAAGTATAATTTTCAATATTTCGAATTTATTTTAGTAACAAGTCAAATTTGATACCTCACTATGTTGTATAATTTTAAAATGTCAATACTAACGCCGTATTTCAGGGTTCAAAATACAATTGTCAGCCTTTCTAAATTAATACCTAGACAGAAAGGCTTATATGCGTTAAGTCATATTTCAATGAAAAAATTACGTATTAAATAAGCATGATAATATTTTCCTAACTATAATACGAGACTAGTGTTACTGGGCATTGTTTCCTGTGGAGAATGTTTGTTTTAACATTCCGTAATTCGAGTCGCTAGGTCGCATTACGGTACGTTTGCTAATCACTTCAACAATCAACGTAGATTGCTGCCTCTGTGTTGATTTGTTTAAATCCGATACTTGTTCTATTTAGAATGTTTTTGATATCTAGTTTGTTTCTAAACCTGTATTTTTTATCAAAATGTTACTGCGGTATTATCAAAAGTAAAATTTTGTTTTTGATAATATTAAAATACAATAAGTAAACCAAAAAAAATTTGAGCATATTTATTTTTTATAATTATTAATACAAAGATCGAACACTCAGAAAAAAATTTATTTGTGTTTGTTGTCGTGTCTTTGTATATGGTTTTTTGCAACGACTTTTTAGCCGTACCGCCATCTAAGAGAAATCTTAAGTATTTCGTCACCCAGTCAAATACCTTTACAGCTACCAGCCCCGGCTAGAGATGTCGCTATTCATTGTATTTAAGTTTTTATTGAAATGATATTCAATTATTTTTTATATTAAATTACTCCACTAGTTTGTTATAATTATTAAT